TGTAATGGATTACGTTACTAACTACAATTTTTGTCATGTAATTTGTAATCAGTAACGGATTGCAATTTGTAAGTAATACCCAGCTTTGCTAGTAGTAGCCCTAGTATTTGTTTATAATTAATATACAGTTTTACTTTTGTCCGCTTCCAACAAATTCAATGTCAATATTGAATTTCAGGTATTAGCATGTAATGCGTATAATTAATTTAAAGTTTTCTTGAAGTATCTTACAGCAAATCAATATGTATAATTATGCAGATATTGTACGTTGTTAGAAATTGTCTATAGGTCCTAACCGTAAAGAAACTAAATTTCATTGATTATAATTGATTGCTTCGTTTAGAGAATGGGTTATAATGTCACAAAGATCAGTGATAGGCTACACATTAATTCAGTGAAAAGATCGGTTGCACTTTAGTTTAAGGTGTTCTTGTTACAGCTAATTATACATTTAAGTACTAAGAAATCTTAATTAGCTAGGCCTACATGTGCTTACTATATAGTTAGGATTAGGGTTTGGCTTAGGGTTACTTGCATGTAATTATGCATAATTTATTGTTATTACAATAGTAAGTACATGTAGCCTAACATGTGTAACAAGGACACCTTAAAATAAAGTGTCACCAAAAGATCAATAAAAGTACACATTCTTTATTGAAAATAGGCTATAATAAAACTGTTTTTGTTGTTCAACATAAGTGAGTAACAAATATTTAGCGTTGTGACTGAGTATATGTAGCCATCACTTAAATCAAAAAAAGATAATAATTAGAGATTCTAAAATATTGAAGTGTTTTTGAGTAGTCCCCCTATTAATCGATTATGATTTTATAAAAGTGAACATAACTTAGTAGTAAGTTAATTCTGCTAAATCGATAATACATTTTCTACAGCAGGTGCTTCAATCACCTCTTCAAAAAGGTGCGAATTTCCCATCACCTCACAGCGTGGGCTCGGCAAGATCTCTGGCGTTCAGATCCCACACTCACCGTGATCCTGACAGCGCACGTTAGGTAAAACGGAATGGCTCAATAATTCATACCCAAGCCTTTTAAAGCTGAGCCGCCTTCAAACGATGACCTGTTTGAGTCTGTCCTTCCCCCTCACACACACAAAACACCAAACAACCATAGACTGTGATTAAGTTTGCTGAATTTTATTTGACAAAGTATTCTCCACGTGTTGTTTTTTTCTTCTTGCTCACTCACTCTCTTTTTGTTTCAGTATTGTCATATTTACAGTAATAAAAAATAAATCATTTTTAGGAAGGATTACATTCCACACTTACATTGCAACGTGTAGCATGTTCCTTTCATAAAGTGCATCGTACTTGTCAGATTTCAGTTCACAATACAAAGAAACAAACAAAGCAAGAAAATGATCAACAACGATTACATCACAGTATCAGAGCACCCATCCACATCTCTGACCGCTTGCTAATAAGGGCCACGTAATTGGGCTGACAGTTTATCTACACAAAAACATTCCTTTAGCTCTATAGATGATTGCAAAAGTGATTGTAGATCATAGTGAGAATTCATCAGTAAAGCACAGAGATTTGGATTTCGGAGAATGGACTACATTTGGGTGCAGTGGTTACAAAACCCCAGAGGCTCTTCTAAAGGCCTGTCTCTCTCCCCTCCCTTATTTTAGGAAGGCGCCTTCTCACTCTATTGTAGCTGTTGATGGGGAAAACAGAGCTAGGCTTAATGGCCCAGAAAACGGATTTCAAGTACCCTAGATAAATGTAACATTTCATGCTCTTCAAGGTTATTTTTAGCAGGGCCAGATTTAGTGGTAATAGAGCTTCCATGCGTTTAGGTGCCGTCATTCAGACGGCCTCTCTCCATTTACGTACTCCAGCGCTGACGTCACAACAGAAGACTAAGGTACACTGGTCTCACGCTAGATTTTTCTTCTTTGTAACTCTCAAAAAGAAGCCTCCGTCGCCTGTACTGTAGCTCCAGAGGAATGCAGTCATCTTATATTTTGTCTACTACTGACTGAAGATATGTAAAATTCTAGATGGCTGGCTGCCTGGCATACTTCAATTCTGTGATGATATCTGTGGTGTTAGTAATTAGATGGGTCACTTTTGAGTACGAGGCTGGGGGTGGACCATCTGTCTGTAGTCTGGCACAGAAAAGGGCTGTCCCAGTCCAACAGAACGCTAAAAAGAGGACTGCATTACTCTGCCGGTAGCCGTAGTGGGCTCCAATGTCCAAGAGAGAGGGTGGAATCCAGCCGTTCCCTTGGCGTAGAACATGCGCACCACCTGGTTCTCTGGGTCTATTTTTGAGCTTTAACTTTTAACTGTTCAAACTAGCCACTACTAAACAAATTATATCCTATCTGTGTTCAGTAGTCAAGCTGCCTAGATGTTGACTATCTAGACACCAAGCTGTGCCTCGACCGCTGCAAATTTGAAGGTGAACGGTACTGTCGACACAGTCAGGTGATGTTACAAATCATAATCCTTGTTTTTACTGATCTGATAAATGCATGAAATCAATAAGACACTAGTAAGTGAAATTATGGCACTTTCTGCCTTGCCAACACTTTTTTGATCATTTGTTTTTTGTTTTTAGGTATTTTTTTCTGTTTTTGCTATTTCTAGGAAACCATCGATAAGAATACAGGTACAGAACACACACATATACACACACACACACACACACACCAAAACGACATCATAAAACTCATGCCCTGATGTGTATAAAAATATACGTTTCCATACAGCATTGCATAAGAAAAATAACCGCTGCACCCCTGAACGAACTGAATCTATGGCATCCCATGCCACCCATTGAGTACATTGTAGTGAAGATACATTACATAACGGTAGAGATTTGCTGAAAAACACTGATATTTGCCAAGTGTTGTGTACTATGTGGGGTGGGTTATTTTTTTATAAGTGGGCACAGTGTGACAGGTCACTGAACCCCACTCCTGACATAAGTGAGTGGTATATAAACAAATGGTTCTCTCGCTTTCACGCACACAACCACAAACAATCAGGCATATCACACAATCGTGCAAAAAAAAAACTGGAGAATTGTTCCACAGTGTCCAGACTGTGAAATAACTCCAGGTAAAAGTCCATCAGATTTCATACAGGTCACTAAGAGTATTAAGGTTAGTCAGAGGGCACCTGGATGGGCTCTCAAGGCCAACTTTGAATACTCGTACTACAATGTGAAAGGACATCTTAGAAAATAGTACAATTGATTTAAAGAGTTGAAACACCCTGGTCTCACTAACCTATTCTCAGTCTGTTTTTTAATCATGTTCAAGTCAGGAAGTAAAATTAGCTCTGTTGATGGCCTCATTGTGATTGTAGCTCTATCAATGAAGGGTACACATTAATTCATTATTGCAGAAGAGAAAAGGTAAGGCCTAAATTAAGATATTTTGCCGCAAATGAGGGGTCGTCAAAGAACAGCTGTGACATTCATACCCCCCTCGAAAACACAAGGCTTTGTTACGGTCAAGCTCAACAAATATCTATGCATATAAAATATTACGACAACTAATCCTTTAGCTTTTAGTGATGTTTCTTTTGCGCCATTTGGAAAAAGGCGTAGTGTTTCTGTTTTGACCTTTGAGCTTCTTATGTCTGTGTGTGTGTTTTTTTTATTTATTTATTTATTTTTTGAGTTGTGTAGCATAGTATAAATCCAATTCGGTAGATTTAATGATGTGTTTTTAAATCTTACATGCTATTTCAAGGTCCTTTTGGCTTAATCTTAACTGAAGTCCCTTCTGTCCCATTTTGGCCTAGTTATCTGATCTTTTAATAGGCCTTCATGCAGATCTATTTACACACAACCCTGCCCCTAACATTGATCCCTGATCTGACGGACTAATTGTACATTCTACACACTCAATTATATCTGATAATCACCGGGATCATTTTTCTGTACAAACCCAGAAGCACTTGTCTTATTTAAGCGTTCATGTCTCAGTTGGCCTTACGCAAAATTGCCTTGAAAGATGTTGCCTGATGTCGAAATTAAAGCGTTGTGGCTGACACCTCATTTCGCGCTCAGACCTTCATTAACCCTGCCATTTCGCACCAACACCAAGACATGTGCTCAATGGATTCGAGACCAAAAATGTGTGAAAATATGATTTGCCTTGCAACTTCGTGGCAGAAGATATTTCAAATGTCATTATGGACGTTAGACAATAAACCAGTTCAGCATGTCTAAACAAATTGGCTTTTCTCAGGGATTTTTAAATTTATGAAATTGCACCGCCAATGATGTGTAGCAACAAATAATCACATTAAAATGAAAAGAGGTCATTTTTTTTCCTTGCACCATAATTTCAGTTTCTAAAATAAGTGATTTGATAAAATTGGCTGTAAAGCGACAAATGCCAGAAGCAATATAATTTTCGCTCACGGGACCATGTTTTCTCTCTGTCATTCATACATTTTTAAGTGAACACAGATTTAAGTGTTAGAGGCGGGGAATAGGGAATAGCTTCATTGTACCTGCCGCTGTCCGTGGTGCTGAAAGAACTCCATATAGCATGAACATGTACACAAAAGCTGTCTACCGTTTACAGCTTTCTTTACACGTATCAGGTCAGTTTTGTAATCATTTTCGCTGTTAATGGTGTTTATTTTTTTAGATAAATAGTATATTGATTTGTGTCACTGGGCCTGTACTACGTATCTCAGAATATCCAGATTATTCTGATCATGTTCAATTTGAACGGTCTCACATATGGTATAATTTGAAATGTTGTGCATAAAGGTCTACAATGCATTAAAGACATATAATTATACATTGCAGGTTGACCTCTTGGATCGCAACACCTACTGCACAACCAGCAACGTTTGACTGGCATCCCACCAAGGGAGGACATCATATCATTAACACTGACACAGTACAAACGAATTATGTGAGTCCGACCTATACATCACTCGATGTCCTTGGCCGCAAGGAGAAGTTGGACGGCACGCATCCGCAGCAGGCTAGCCACAGGGATTTCTGGATGTCCGGATTTCTGTAAGCGTATATGATTGGGTTTATGACCGAGTTGCATGTCACCGGCAGCACTGTTGCATACGTGTAGATCATCGGGTAGCTGGAGTCTGCCACAATCGAATACATGGCGAAGGGCATCCAACATGCGGCAAAGGTGCAGAGGATGATGGAGAGCGTGGATACACCTTTTGTGGTGGAAATGGCCATGAACTGGTGCTGGACAGCGATTTGCTGCGCATGGCGGAAGGCAATCTTACAGATCTGTAGGTAAAGCTGCATCATGAGGGCAAACACCAGCAAGAACGTCACAGCGAGCACCACGGCATTGTTCTTGGTGACCGGCCGGCAGATACTGCAGCTGGCCTCGTCTCGGAGGCAGTTCCAGCCGAGCACTGGCAGTAGGCCCAGGATGATGCACACCAGCCAAATGAGAACCACCATGACATAGGTGAATGTCACCATGCGCTCCGTGTGGTAGGTCAGAGCGTTATAGAGGGACAAGTAGCGATCCACCGTGATGGCCAGGATGTTGAGCACAGATGCGGAGAAGGCGGCGATCAACAAGCCGACGGAGATCAGAGTCACAAACTCCGTGTTCAGCATATAGATGAAGACGAAGTTGAGAATGAGGCCGAGTCCCGCGAGCAGGTCCGCGAATGCGAGGCTCCCTATCAGAATGAACATGGGGGCTCTCAAGGTGGGCGTGTAGAACAGGATGGCGATCACGATTGCATTCTCGCAGGAGATGAGCGTGCCCGTCACGCACAGTGCAATGTCCCACGGGTTAACGGGAAGTGGCCTCAGCTCTGCCGTTCGCACCGGTGATGAGTTCCGCACATCCAGGAGATTCCACGTGCCCACCGTGGAGAGGGAAGAGGTGTTTTGAAGTTGGTTGCTCATTGCTGCTGCAAGAGAGTGAATCATAGCTGATGGTGGGGGGAGGGAGGGAGGGGGGTGAAAGAGAGAGGGGTGCGGTAGTGAAGATAAGAGAGAATGTGTATGTCAGTGGAAAGGCAGTGGGAATAGCATATCTGTCAAAAGAAATATGCCTGAAGCCCCCGAACCTGATGAAACAGTCTCTTATTCTTAGGCAGTCAAGAACGAAATTATTAGGCAAAGTAGGATATGTTTACAAATTTTGTCATTAGCTAGAATGTTCAGATTTCATCATTACAGCTGGCAAAGTGTTGATTTGTGGTTAATTAGAAACTGAATAGTCCTTGAGCACTTAATAATCAGGTTTGGAAGCAGCAAAACATTGTAGCAAATTGCATCAAGGCGAGCTGTAAATGTACAATATTTCTCTTAGTTTGCTGCTGCATGTGCATTTCATCGCAAAAAGGCTATTAATCAAGCAGCCGTCCCGACAAAACGCACGCACTTCACTTTGTTTCTATTTTTAGTAATTGTCTAAAAATAAGACGCGCCGCCTCAGTGCACGGGTCTCTTATGAAGGCATCGTGTATATGCTTCCAGAATCCACAATGATGCGCTTTCGCCTGACGCCATAGACGCAGACACATTTTAACACATTCATTCATAAAATTTCCTCCTCACAGACCTGGCTATATATAAACTGACTAAGAAAAGACTGCAAAGGACTATTCATTCAAATTTACTGGTGCCCGTTAAAAAAACAATCATCGCAATTTAATGACACGTTTAACTAAGACATTTTCTCACAAAAGAAAGCACAAGTGCGTATCAGCAGACGGTACCTCAGTGCCATGAAGCTGCAATGCCTTTTTCTCCCCCGAGCTTGCGCGCAGTCCGTGCCTGTCATACGAGAGGAGATGGGGGGCCCAGAAAGAGACGGAGAACAACATAAAAGAAGAACTAAATTGCCTTTTGTTTCACGCAGAGTAAAACCCTCATCTTTGGCGGGTTAAGTCCTGTGGAAAGGCAAGGTGTTCGTCGGTTAGCATGGCTAATACTGTTGGTAGGACGATAGCTCTGCCTCGCTTGATATTCCCCCTATTGGACCTCACCGATGATTCTCCCCTCTGACGTCAAGAGTCCTCACAACAGTCATGATCGAGTCTGTGAATCAGAGATGCTGTGGACGGAATATTAATAATAAAACACGTTCAGACAACACGAATCCAACTATAAGGTACAAGAGACAAGCGCGTCTTCACTCTGTGTGGTTCCCCCGGTACCGGACCCAAGGTCGCCGGTAGCTGCTGCCGTTTTGCGCAAAACGGCACGATTCTTCCTTCTTTTTTTCTCCAAGATTACCGATCACACCAAACTGTCCGGCTAGCACAAAGCCAGAGCACCGCTGTCACTTGTTTTAGATATCCAAATAAATCTACTTTGCGCGTCTCTATTGTTACATCTCGCGTCTCCCTCTTGTGACTTTCACGTGTCTTTTACCTGATATTACGCAACATATTTGCACCCGAAATCCTAGGAAAATTTTGAACCGTGATAATTATATAATAACTCGTCTCGAAGTATGATGTCTAACGTACCCGTTATTTTTGTTTTTCAGACGGATTGTAGTGGTGAAAGGTGTGAGTGTGTTTCATTCAAGAGCTGGATGAGTGTTCAGTGGCGCGTGCGTCTCCCACTATGAGGACACTGTCAAATACTCCAACAGCAGATGTCTTTACAAGGCTGTTTATTTTTAGAAAGTCACATTTCCTTGAATTGTGCATCTGCTAGCAAATACTGGCAGATGATCATGAATTAGATTTGTAGCAGTAAATGGCATACAGGTTTTACCTGCTGTGACACTTGGGGCTGTTCTGATGACTCTCACAAAAACCTGTGCACAATGTGCAAAAACAAAAACTTGGCAAGGAACTGTACAGGTTCAAATGAACAATGCACTGAAATTGGGTTTTGCTTGTGTGCTGAAAATAGAGAAACGCAGAGAGAGAAGGGAGGGCACTGAACTGTTTAAGGAACGCTGTTTTTTTTTTCATTGCATTTTCCCTGACAGATAATCTTGTGAATAAGTAGTCCTGATCAGAATTACAATAAGTCTCAAAGTTGGTTGAGCATTGGCCCTGCAATGGCTATTCATTGATGGGAGCTCCCACCAATCGCCTTCACTCTCACTCCCCCATTCATCTTCTCTGCACAGCATTGTGGGTAAGCTATTACATCATCACTCTCTCAAACCTTTCTCACAAGTATGCATGCACTGTTACAACAATAATCTACAACACGTTCCTGCATTATCACATGCATGTGTCTGCACATGTTTAAGTCTTTGATGCACAATGTCAATTGGAAATGCAATTGCACAACAATCAAGTGAGTCACTGCACACTCACCCTGTTGTGAGCTAAACATACACAGACCTATTTATTAAAATCCACTTATTTAAATGAACGTATTACCCCACGGTTGTGTCCTAGTATGTTTCTTAGCTCTGTTGATTTGTGTGTGTGTGTAAGCAACTATAGCCAAGATCCATTCACTTTCTGTTAGACCATCTAAATGAACAAGTGCATGTCAATCTGGTGCTTAAGTTGTCCTGAGATGCTGTATTGATGATTAAATAAATGCATTCCAATTCCTCCATTCAGCTGAGAAGACTATTACTGAACTCACGTCGACCGCGCAAAAACCTGCTGACGCTTCCCAAACGCTGGAACTCACTCGTCAGCAGATGCTGTAGCATTGTGTGCGTGAGTATGTGTGTGCATGTGACTGCCTCATCAAATGTATTTATCCGCTGTGAGCAAGCCAGTGTGCTTCTATTCACTGTCTGTTTGACAGCAGCAGCTTAAACACTCTCAGTATGAAGTTTTTATTTACTGTGATTTTCTCAGTCGAAGCCCTCTCCAATTTAAAACTGTTTTCAGTCTCCAGCGAGAGCGGCTCTTTAATGCACCACTCTGCTTCTTTCAGGCTTCTTTCTGCTGCCTGTCTTAATGACACTGCTGTGTGTCTTTTGAGTGGGTGGAGCAAACTACACCACAAAGTAAAAAAAGAAAAATGGTACAATTGTTGAGGTTTACACATTTTGAAGGCAAATGTACAATACTCACGGTCTAGGATTTAATGCTCAAAATTAGTGTAAGTGAGAATCATTTTAGCATAGTCAGAGGCTCCTGTGCCAGCTGGATTTGTGTGAAGTGCTGTAACAAATGTGGCCTATTATGACCTTTAGCAGTCTCTAACAAATCTGTGAAGATTCACCCAGGGGAAGTAGTGTAGATCGTGATAAAGAAAATGCAAAAATATAACATTTTTGCAAACACCAATACTGAATTGAACTAACTTTCAATATTGAAATGAACGAATATTTCTTAAAAAAAACAAACAAAAAAAATTTAATATTTATTAAATTGTATTTATTTTCAGTGAAATAAGAACAGGTCAATATATACAGTAAGTGGAGTTAAAACATTTTTTTAAAGTAATGTTACCTTAAAATATATTACACTAATGAAATTGTTTTGAGTTAGTGATTTCCAGATTTAGGCTGTTTGGTATTTGCTGTTTCTGTTTTACTGTTACACTGTGCTAAACAATGGCATTTTCATCAGATTATAATAATCACTCAGCATTATAGTTTGGAGCCTGTGATGCAAAACTACTGATGGCTGATTAGTTTAAAGTTCAATTATGTAAGAATTGACTGTGAAATGTCATAATTTATCTTAGTTGCTACAAAATGCTGCAATTTAGAGGTTTGTAATGGTGTATTGAGTGAATAATAGCGGTTAATTGTAGTGCATATTGATTTAAGTAAGCCTGGGTGAAATTTGTCTAAAACGTCACATGCAAGAAAAGTAAAAAGCAAGCTGGAGAGCTGTTTCCACTTAAGCTTTTTACCAGCCATCATCTTTAGAAGGTGACAGTCTGCTAGATAGAGGCTCGACCTTTTTTTCCTCCTAATTTCTCCTTTTTTGTATTCCTTTAACTTCATTTTTCCTCTATCTCCATGTGTCAAACTATAATCGTTTCCTGTTTCAGAGAAAAGTGAGAGTGCGGCAGACAGACTGAGAGCAAGGATGTGGATTTAATTTAATTTCACATTATGAGAAAAACCTTCAACCTCAAGGACGATTTACATGCTTGACCTCAAACAAGTTTTTAAAGTTACAATAAAACAGAAGTAGTGACAGGTCTTTTTTCTATACTGTGGCGTGACTTGGTTCTATGGCTCGCCTTGGATTTTGAGATGTGGAGGCAGATGAACACAAGCCTGTAAGATGGGGTTTAGGCAGACTAAATGATTGGAGAACTCCTGCAGATGTCATAGAGAGAAGTCTGTCATTTTTACCAGAAGGTCCAGTTATGACATTTTGAGGTCAACAGATGCAGCCATTATGGGGTCCAAGAAAAAAAAGAAAATGAAACATGCATGGATGAATTGTTCACCAAAAGATCTATAATATACATTGTAGTACACACACACACACACATAACTTGTGGGTGTGTGAGTGATGCCTACATTAATTTCTGCCTTAAGCTGGAGCTGGTGATACCAAGGATCTAACTGGGTCAGTTTTTCCATCTAATAATGGCAGTATTATACCTATAGGCACAGCTTGCTGTTTATCTCTCTGCTTCTTTCTTTTTCTGTCCGATCTTTTTCTCACTATTGTCAAGGTCTCTTCTTCACTCAATGGGGGATTAACTTGTGCCCAGTGGGAGTCTGCCTGGCTTGCGTGAGCAGCAGGTGCCCATGTGTGAAGAGTAATCCCAAAGGGGTCAGAGACAAGTGTTAGCATCCACTCAGGAAAGAGTTTTCTGTAGCTTTCACCCACAGCCTCTCTGACTGATGAGAGCATGTCATTTCATATTAGCCCTAAGAGGGAGACAGCAGGGGTTCGGGCATTTGTGTATTTATGGAATGTGTGAAGATACCAGGTCAGATGAGGGAAAGGCCAGCCAGAAGGAGGATAGTAGGGAGTAGCCATTTTAAAATTCCTTTTTTTGGGGGGACATATATATTTGGATTTTACAAAATGACCCTAATCAGTCATCGTGATGTTGTCTTGTCATGTTTGGATTGTTGCAATGAAATGGGGAAGGTTTCACCTTACAGTATTTACAGTAAAATATTTTCAAGTGGTCGACTGATGATGAAAGGGATTATTTTTTTGTTAATATTTAAATTGTTTTTTAAATATTTATTTATTTATTTATTAATACCTATTTTTTTTTATCCAGATAATTTTTACTATAAAAGTATTACACATATTTCAAAACTTTATCCATTTAACATTATCCGTTGACAAGGCTGTCTGCATAGTTTGGAACTGATTATAGACAAATGGACTTCTGTTAATCCATCATTTGGTTTGCTTTGAGTAGAACATTTCAGCAACATTCTGATGTGAATTTTGTTCTTCTATTTCTCTCTTTAAAACCCAAAGAATTTAGAATTTTTAGCTAAATAATTACTTAAAACAGAGGTTACTCAAAACAGAAACTTTGCGTTATCCATTGACTGGATTGTCTACGTATTTGAAGCTGATTTTGGCAGAATGACATCTGTTATTCTATCATTCTGTTTGCTTTGAGCAAAACATTTTTAAAACATTCTGCTGTGAATTTTGTTGTTCCCCCATTTGGAAGTCTGATTGTTTTTCTATTTTCAATTTTGTGCTGCTATTAATTCTCTAAAACAGCTCCAGCTACTACCACTGGAACGAGCACACTTAGCCTCATCTTTATCCTACAATTACTGAAGAAATGGCAAAGCTGATCTCTAGTCAATGCAAAAGGGCAATGGCTGTTGTTTACTCTGTTGAGGAGTCCACGGGGATTGTTCTAAATGATTCACTGATCTTTAGATAATATTCCTCAACTGTTGAACCAATTAGCGGTTTCTGCTTGCACACTTCCCCTGTGCGCTGCTGTTAAAATTATAATCCTGTTCCAGTTGTACTCTTTTGCATGATTAGTATTCAGTTCCTTTGAGATAAAAATCCACACATTTTAAATATTTATTTACACCCACCTTGTGAAGACTATACAAAAAAGGACAAGAACAGAAGATATGCATATATTACAAGGAATCTGCATGGTACAAACGTGTTTGCGTCAGTAATTGCAGGCTACATCTGTAATCATATCTGTATCAAGGATGCACACAGTCAGACAAGAACACACAAACAAACCTGCTTCAATCACTGAACATCAAAGAGGCTCCCAGTCCCAGCGTTTCATCATCTGGTTTAAATGAGAATGACGTACATGGCAGTGAATAGGAATGGATTAAATCGGTCTATCTATCTATCTATCTATCTATCTATCTATCTGT